TCTTTTTCTCCTTAAGTCAGCAGAAAGATATGTAATTATAATTTATGCTGTTCTAATGATTGTGCTCTCACCTGCTTCAGGGATGAGAGGAAGGAGCGTTCTTACAGCTTTACTGGGGAGTAATTTACAGAAAATGATTGGCGGATCTCTCTGGCTTCATTTCCTAAATTCACCCAGTCAGAAAGATAATTCTCCTTAACATGGGGTTAAATGATTAGGAGTAGATGCCTGGATTTAGTCATTTTTCAGACTTCCCGAGTGAGAGGTTGCTAGCACAAAAATGCTCTGCAGCAGTAAACCTGTCACTTGTGCCTTTTCTAAAACAGCCTTGGGTGATAGGCTGTTGTGGTAGACTAGAGGAATCGTGTGGAATGAAGCAAGAAGGAGCTTGCAAGGCACACCAAGAGACTTCTCCCCTGATGTTTTATATTGGGCCTCTATCTCTCATCAGATTAGATACAGAGGATATATGGGCAAATTGACAGAACTCTTGACAATTTTACCCAGCTTCCAAATATCCCAAATCTATTAATACGATTGTGGCTAGTAGAATTCCAAAATGGTGCTGGAAGAACCCTAAATGCTCCCCTCTTGTAGCAATACAAACACTAGAAAGCCAGCCACAAGAAACCTCTTGCCAGTGGAAGCAGTGGAAACCATATGCAATCAATTGGGATGGAACCAGCCATCCATTTGTAGGAAGTTAACACCTCCCCCTCCTAGAAAAATGAAATATCCTGGGAAATATTGAAAAGGCAGAATATTATATTTCCCTGGATCAGAAAGGGAGAAACATGTTTTAGGTATGAAAAAAACCTCACTCTTAATATCCCCCAACTTTGTCAATGGGCCATTAAATTTCCTAAGCCAGTCTATTCTACAGAACAAAGAACCCCTTCAGCTCCATGGTGATGGGATTAAGGCATGATAGTATTAGCCCTTTACCCATTTCACCACAGGGCACCTGGGAAGAAGCAATGCTCAACCAAACCTGGACGCAAAACACAGCCTAGAGAGTTGTTCTGTATCTTCTGCCA